TTACCTCGCGACTGCATTCGTCACACGAAAGAACAAAGAAGGTTAATAACGCTCCAGCAGGTGACTTCGCCTCGTCACAGGGTTCATTACTCGCACAAGCAGCGAGGAAAGAAAGTAAATTTTCGAGTGGGGAAAAACGTCACTTTTCAACCGCTTTCTGATCCGAGCAGGTTGAAAAACTCAAGCTGTGCGTTTTCTTCGAACAATCAAAAGCAATTTTTTTTTCAATTTCGGTAAAATAATTTTGAGGGATCAAGCTTCTTTGCTTTACTTAGTCAAACCAAGTCTAACTCGTGTATAAACTCAACCCGTGAGATCGACTTCCCCCCCCCCCCCCCAAATAAGCATCGTCCGAATTATCAAGTGATTAATGATTTGAGCTCTTGCATTTCAGAAGCAATTTCAAGATGTTCAGAATGCTCGGAATGTATTCTGTGGTGTTCTTCTTGTTGGTGCTGCAAATTCGAGGCGATGTCAGACAGGAAGCACTACAAAACAAAAACATGTTTGGCGGAGACATGGCTGGAGGAATCAATGTCCCTCGAATCAGCAACAGTGTGAGTTGGAATTTTATTCGTCTGTGTAAATTATGCGGAATATTCGAAACAACTTAATCTCGGTCGTGCGTTCTAGCAATCTTAATCAAACACATGATCGGTTCACGTGAAATAAATTGATGAAAAACATTTCCTGAAAAAAATGTGGAATTGCAGTTTATCCACGTTATTCCACATTATCTCGACCTGAATTGTATCTAGCTCTGATGGACAAAGAGCAAAGCTTGACAAAGCTTTGGACTGCTGATGACCATACATTTGCAAAAAATTAGGTATTGGAATTGAATCTAAGAATTTGTCATTTTTGAGTCTTTTTGAAGATTACTCATAAGAAATTTCCTCAAAGCTTCTCAATGAAGGCAAATCAGTTGAATTATCATCATATCAAATACAACCCTTAAATCATTGGGTATGGTTCAAGAATGTTCCGAGTACCATACAATTTGTTTTATCTTGGTGGTAATAATTTTTAAAAATCCTATCTACTACTCACAATCTTTTCTAAATTACTGAGGGATGTTTTATAATTCCAAATTCAAAGGGTCTCAAAATCATTGGAGTGAATGTTCAGCTTGTAAGCAGAGTATTTGGAAGGTTCACTTGAGAGGGCTTCAAAAGAAATACAGTAGGTTTACAGTATTACACTTCAAGAAAATGAAGGATAATGTTTACTGATAGATACAGTATGTTGTTAATGAGACTGATATATTTCCTCAAATTACACCAACTATATTTACTCCGCACAACAAACGAGAGATATGCAGGCTATTTTTCACACAAAACAAGCCCTCAAAACCAGGAAAAAATTACGACATAAAATATTGCACATTATATATTTCATAATGCCAAATTCCAAAGCGAATATCTTGCTCGATAATTTAGATACAAATTCTGTCAACATTTAAAAATTGAGATCATCAAGTTTTTTACAAACTCTGTCTTAATTAAAATGTCTGTATATTTTCCACCAAAGCACATTGCTGTTTGAAGTTGCTGCGCTGGGCATCATTGGTGATGGCGAATGGGTCGAAGGGAACGAAAGCCACTGGCAGAAAAAAAAAAGTTGTTTTCCCTTGAAGCATGCTGAAAGTAAAGTACTGTATACTAATTCCAGGTGCTCAAAAAAGGCCGAAAATTGCACTTCGTTCCAAGTTACACCTATGGAAAGAATAAGTGATATTTAAAAATGTTCAACATCCTCTGCGATTTTTATGCATGCGATAATTATTTCAGAAAATTCATAATCCTCAATCCAAAATCCAAATGAAATAATGTTCGCAAGCATTTCTTTCATTTTGAATTTTTTGGAATTGGCGCCTCCTTCACATTCTCTCTCGAAATTTAAACAAATTATCATTGATGGAAGAAAAGGACTCAAAAATCTCTGCAAGCAGTTGAAAATTCCTCCGCATGCTGACATATTACAGGCAAAACTACAGTACAAGAGGGAAAGATCAGACATATTAACACCTACAAACTGTCTAACTCTGAACTGCTACCAATTTTTAATGATTAGGATTGAACTGTCTGTTTTTGCAGACAGATGGACCTGTCATGGCCTTTGTGCCTAACACCGATTATAAGCTCTGGACTGGGGGCGTCTTGTACTACGAGTACGACGCAACTGCCAGTGAGTATCGAATATTCTTTCCAGTTATTCCTACTTTTTCAGAAATGAACCATGGACAATTCTTGGATTTCAGCCAGAAATGATCAAGTGCTGTCTGCTGCGATCCAGGAGATCCACGACAAGACGTGCCTCAGGGTTTATCCCAGGAATGGACAAGCAAGCATCACCAGTTACGTCAGAATCACCACTACGGAGCCTGGGTAACAGAAAAACATAATTGTTTCTTTGTTTTTGATACAGTAATAAAAATACCTTGATGAAGGACAGGTGGTATCTCACAATTTGACCTCTCACACATCAACCATCCCCCAATTTGACAGTGAAATTTGCAGGGAGGTTGATTCTCAATTTGTGCTGTGCTGTGCAATTTGACCTGCAGAGAGACATGAAACATCAAATTCTATGCAAAAAATATGACATGACATTTTCTTGAAAATTGAAAACTTTGCAATTTAACCCTAGTCCAGAAGCAGGTTAGGGTCAAATTGCAAGGTACCAATTGTCTTAGAAAATCCATAAGAAGGGTATTGCCCATTGCCTGTCATTTCTTTTAGTAACAAAATTTTTGACAAGATTTTCAGGGCTGATTCAAGAGTTTTGCTTTCGAAATTCTGACTAATGGAGATTGAAAAACAATTTTTGGTGGTACTGTATTTAAAAATGTCAGTCACTATAACTTGTTTTATTGAAAAAATGTCATCTTTTGAAAACAGCATTGAAAGGAAGTCTAAACATTCAGTATAGGAATCAATTTAAAAAACATGTTAGGAAACTATCTCATAACAAGGAAAACTTTTTTTCTGGAAGTTTCCGTTTTTAAAATTTTCAAATCTTGAACTTCTAGCATTTTTTTATGAGAACATTCAAGCGGTGATAATTTTTCAACCTAAATCAATCATAGTATTCTTCCTGAACAAGAGACAACTCGAAAAAATCCTTTTTGAAGAAATACTGTACTGTAATTCGCCATAAAATCCTTCACTGCACTTCAACCTTTTTGTGTGGGTTTTTTTTTTGGACTTCCTTGTAGATGGATTATATTGGCTGCTAATTCCTGGGTGTTTTGATGTTTTTTTTTTATTACAACAAAAACCGAGAATTCTACTTTTCAGGAAAAATCGCATTCATCATTTCGGAAAGAGAGTTGAAATCGAAAATACAGTAGTTGGTACACCATTTCTGTTGTTTATCGTTTCACACTGAAATGCCTTTACAGGTGCTGGTCCTACGTTGGGATGAAGACCACTGGATCCCAGCAGTTGAACCTGTCTGTTTCAGGGTGCTGGTACGTGGGAACAGTCATTCACGAGCTTCTGCATGCCTTTGGCTTCAACCACGAACACCAACGTTATGACAGAAACACATATGTCACCATCCAGGAAGCCAACGTTGAAGCTGGTGCGTTGTCCTAAATTCTTGTCTGTCCACCATTTTCCAAGTTGATTTAATATACCAGTGCCAAAATGTATGCACAAAAGTATAGGCTGGAAACTCTGTAATGTGTAAGTAGCAAAAAACAGCAGAGTTGATTCATACGTTTTGAGGCTTTTTAAAATAGATCAAAATAGAGGGGTTCAACAATTCAAAAAGAAAATTTTACTCGCATAGCTCCATCATTTGGCAATATTTAGAGAGCTATTCAACATGCTCTCCACCAATTTCAAAGTACAGTCAACCCCCATCTAACGGACTTGATTTGTGCAAGGGACAAGTCTGTTAGACAAAAAGTCCTTCACACCAATTCAATTACATAAAAAATTAAAAATTTAAATTTTCAACACTAATTTTAAACCAAAAGAAGTCTGTTTGGCGGATTTTGTCTGTTGGGTGGGAGGAAAAACTACTTGCAGAGCTGGTCTGTTTGGCAAAAATCCCTTACATGGGAGGTCTGTTAGGTGGGGGGCCACTGTATTTTTCATGCAATACATGCAATTATCAAAATAGTGTCAAATATCAAGCACTTCAATGTTGCCAAATGATAGGGTATACAAGTATACATTTTTCCAGAATCATCAAAAAATCCTTTGGATTTATTTCAAAATGTATCCAAGCTTATACAAAACAACCTTCACACATTTTCAAATTGAACATTAGACAGCATCAAAAAATGTGGACTTTCATATATTTTTATATCTGAGAAAACCATTGTAGTGGAATTATCTCATGAAAAATTCAAAACTTTTCTACTGATAACACTTGAGGCCAATTTTCACCTTCTGCAATTGATCATTTTAATTTTTCCCATTCTGAAAAACCTGTCTTCAAGCCCTCCTTTCTAAATTGTTCAAGATATTTCACTACATCTGTTTCATTGATTCTTGATTTAATTTTTGCAGAAAAGCAAGAAGTGTGCAAATGCTTTACCTGCCATGAAGTCTTTAAAAAAAACTTCTTTGAGTCTGCAAAAACTTTATGAAACTTTGCAATTTTGCAGACAATTCTTCGAAAATGTCTTAGGTTGTAAACAACATAATGGAAATTTGCTGGTCTGTGGGCCTGAACAGGTTGGGTAACACTGGTCCATAGGAAGAATCCAAGGTTCGAAAAACATAGAAGACACTTACAACACATGATTTAGCTGCATGATGATCAAAATCAGAAGATTTTTTAATGCAAAGAGTTTTGAATACATTTCTTGTTCCATATGATCAGTTAAGTACAGTAATTATAGCAAAGATTCATTCTTCAAAAATTATTTTCAAATGGTATTTTTATCATGATTTCTTCTGATCAATACTGAAAGAAGCAGACCATCAAAAATACCTGAACTTCTTGAATCAGAGGTGTCCTCTGGATTTTCGTTCTGCATTTTTTAGATACACTTCTGGAGTACCTGAACAACCATTTGAGCAGAAAAAATAAATACTCAGTAAATACATGGCTCCCAAATGAATGACATGACATTAAACAATCANATGTCATCTTTTGAAAACAGCATTGAAAGGAAGTCTAAACATTCAGTATAGGAATCAATTTAAAAAACATGTTAGGAAACTATCTCATAACAAGGAAAACTTTTTTTCTGGAAGTTTCCGTTTTTAAAATTTTCAAATCTTGAACTTCTAGCATTTTTTTATGAGAACATTCAAGCGGTGATAATTTTTCAACCTAAATCAATCATAGTATTCTTCCTGAACAAGAGACAACTCGAAAAAATCCTTTTTGAAGAAATACTGTACTGTAATTCGCCATAAAATCCTTCACTGCACTTCAACCTTTTTGTGTGGGTTTTTTTTTTGGACTTCCTTGTAGATGGATTATATTGGCTGCTAATTCCTGGGTGTTTTGATGTTTTTTTTTTATTACAACAAAAACCGAGAATTCTACTTTTCAGGAAAAATCGCATTCATCATTTCGGAAAGAGAGTTGAAATCGAAAATACAGTAGTTGGTACACCATTTCTGTTGTTTATCGTTTCACACTGAAATGCCTTTACAGGTGCTGGTCCTACGTTGGGATGAAGACCACTGGATCCCAGCAGTTGAACCTGTCTGTTTCAGGGTGCTGGTACGTGGGAACAGTCATTCACGAGCTTCTGCATGCCTTTGGCTTCAACCACGAACACCAACGTTATGACAGAAACACATATGTCACCATCCAGGAAGCCAACGTTGAAGCTGGTGCGTTGTCCTAAATTCTTGTCTGTCCACCATTTTCCAAGTTGATTTAATATACCAGTGCCAAAATGTATGCACAAAAGTATAGGCTGGAAACTCTGTAATGTGTAAGTAGCAAAAAACAGCGGAGTTGATTCACACGTGTTGAGGCTTTTTAAAATAGATCCAAATAGAGGGGTTCAACAATTCAAAAAGAAAATTTTACTCGCATAACTCCATCATTTTGCAATATTTAGAGTGCTATTCAACATGCTCTCCACCAATTTCAAAGTACAGTCAACCCCCATCTAACAGACTTGATTTGTGCAAGGGACGAGTCTGTTAGACAAAAAGTCCTTTACACCAATTCAATTACATAAAAGATTAAAAATTTAAATTTTCAACACTAATTTTAAACTCAAAGAAGTCTGTTTGGCGGATTTTGTCTGTTGGGCAGGAGGAAAAACTGCTTGCAGAGCTGGTCTGTTTGGCAAAAATCCATTACACGGGAGGTCTGTTAGGCCACTGTATTTTTCATGCAATACATGCAATTATCAAAATAGTGTCAAAAATCAAGCACTTCAATGTTGCCAAATGATAGGGTATACAAGTATACATTTTTCCAGAATCATCAAAAAATCCTTTGGATTTATTTCAAAATGTATCCAAACTTATACAAACCAACCTTCACAAATTTTCAGATTGAACATTAGACAGCATCAAAAAATGTGGACTTTCATATATTTCCATATCTGAGAAAACTATTGCAGTGGAAATTATCTCATGAAAAATTCAAAACTTTTCTACTGATAACACTTGAGGCCCATTTTCACCTTCTGTAATAAATCATTGTAATTTTTCCCTTTCTGAAAAACCTGTCGACAAGCCCTCCTTTCTAAATTGTTCAAGATATTCCACTACATCTGTTTCATTTATTCTTGATTTAATTTTTGCAGAAAAGCAAGAAGTGTGCGAATGCTTTACCTGCCATGAAGTCTTTAAAAAAAACTTCTTTGAGTCTGCAAAAACTTTATGAAACTCTGCGATTTTGCAGACAATTCTTTGAAAATGTTTTAGGCTGTAAATAACAACATAATGGAAAGTTGCTAGTCTGTGGGCCTGAACAGGTTGGGTAACACTGGTCCATAGGAAGAACCCAGGGTTTGAAAAATATAGAAGACACTTACAACACATGATTTAGCTGCATGATGATCAACATCAGAAGATTTTTTTATGCAAAGAGTTTTGAATACATTTCTTGTTCCATATGATCAGTTAAGTACAGTAATTATAGCAAAGATTCATTCTTCATAAATTATTTTCAAATGGTATTTTTATCATGATTTCTTCTGATCAATACTGAAAGAAGCAGACCATCAAAAATACCTGAACTTCTTGAATCAGAGGTGCCCTCTGGATTTTCGTTCTGCATTTTTTAGATACACTTCTGGAGTACCTGAACAACCATTTGAGCAGAAAAAATAAATACTCAGTAAATACATGGCTCCCAAATGAATGACATGACATTAAACAATCAATATAAAACGTATAATAAAGGGACTTGTGAGACAAATGTGTTAAACCTGAGAACGAAACAGAAGCTGCACAGTTTAACCCAAATCTGTTTTGAAATTTCCCCTTAAGAATTAGTTTGACCTAATTGGAATGAAATTACTACTTAACAAACGGAATCGATTTTTTTTTCAAGATTCACTGAGAGTTCCGAAAGAATAAAAATTACTTTGAACATAAATTCCAGCACCTAAAGAATTTAAATCCGAGCATGTTCAAGATACATCACGATTTTTACAATATACTGCATATCCTTTTCTTTTGTCGCTAAAAACTACCATCAATGCACACGTGGTATCATAGGTCACGGAAGTCATCCAAATTACTGATTTCTTCGTTTGCAATTTTGCAGCTTCATTGCACAATTTCGCACTAGTCCCGTTGGCTGAGTCGACGAACGTGGACAACCCCTACGACTTGGACTCCATCATGCACTACGGGGCCTACGCGTTCGGCAAGGTGGACGCCACAACCAACTTGAGACTTCAAACCATCTTTGTGAAAAGTGACCCGGCTCGAATAATGAAAGAGCCCTATGACCTGACCAGCCTTTCAGCGGGAAATGTGAGAGAAATACAGGCAGTCTACAAGGCCGAATGCCCAGCTGTTGGAGGAAATACTCCGGCTCCTGCTGCCAAAAAGTTGGCACGCCTCCTGCCCGACATCGTCCAACTTCTCCGTCGTCTTCTCAGTATCATGGAGTGAATCTGCTAATTTTAACCGAGTTTGTCATGATGAGGTTGACCTCATGATTGAAATATGCAGAGAAATGGAAAGGAAAAAATGCTCTGTAAGAGGAATTTCCTTGCACTATGTTATGTTTTTTTTGTTAACGTGAAGGCTGTATTTGTTCCTGGGTAGTATTGATTGACACGATTCAAAATGTTTCTCCCGCATCCTTTCTGACACACATGCATTATAGACACATTCCAGTGAATAACAAATAATACACTGCGTAATTACTTACAGAAAATGAATCACAATACATGGGAATCAATTCAAATCCCCAACATTTTTAAATTATTATTACAAAGAAAACAGAAACACACAGCAATTGCTGAACACACATTACAAGAGGCATGCAGCAGTCAGTCTGTTATTCTCAGATAATTTTATGATGTATTTAACATTTTTGAAAGCTGTTATCCTTATTTGGGAAAAATCAATAAAAGACACTATTGCAGTTCGAGAAGAATGTCTTCTTCTGGACGCGATTAATCTGATAAAGATTTACTTTCCAAGAATAAACTTTTGACAAGAAGATTTCTTTCCTATAGCCCAAGTTTCTAAGTGAATAAGACTTCTCGTTATAAAGACATGAGTACGTATATTTCTAGGTGACTGCAACAAACGCCAGACCAACAATGAATACCAAATATACACTTCCCGGACCTTAAATAGATTCAGAATAAACCAGACATGCATGATGCAATGCAGTCTGGAAAACAGAAACGGGGACAGGGAATGACCGTAAACCAGACACTGTAAAAGTACGCGTCATGACCTTCTCAGATTCGGATCTGAGTTGCTAGGCAAGAAAGTATTGTGACATTTTGGGACGTACAAAAAGAAAAGATAGGAAGCGTCATTATAAACCTATCCCAGGACACTCATATTAATATTTGATGACAAAGCATTTGTGAAAATCAGTCAATATTCATCTGGAAACAAGCTGAACACCTCGCATGTGCTTTAATTTATTAAAACATGAGGGTTTGATTGAATACTTTCTTATCAAAGCACGTGACATTTCACTGGCAAAAATCAGCTGACCGTGCAGATTTTGCATACGTACCTACAATATTTTGCATGCTACAATGCTAGAGAAGCTTTTATGCCAAAAGAGATAAAATTCTAGATTTGAAAAGTGAAAAAAGTACTTTCCCAAATAATTCACTCATCAATCATTCCAATGAAGACATCCTGAAAATCGATCTAGAATATTTCAGAAAATTCAGTCGATTATATTTCGTAAAACAGGTGTATCCAATTTTTACATTTAATTGGCTAACTAAACATTAAGAGCCTGGAAAACCCCCAGGACTACTAAGGCACCCGAATTCCTGAGCGTTGGGTGGAATTCACAACGGATTCTCCCAGAAATCTTGGAACTACTGTATTACCAAGAACATTTGAGCCTGAAGGTTTGACTGCAGTCTCATGATATGAATTTTTCCAGATATCTTGACAAAAACGTTCAGAAAAAATTGAAACAAATACTGTATATTGATCCAGTTTTGTTTTTTGCACGCGAGAGGAGCTTTGGATGAATTTTTCTTCAAAACTCTATGCTAATGGAATTCGTCGTTTTAGAAAAGGAGTTCTATGAAAATCTTGGAATTTCAAAAATGACTGAATCTGACAGTGAATTCTTACCACAATGCATCGCAAATTATTTTTTCACCTGTGAACTACTGACCAATTTATACCAAAAATGCAAAGGTGTTGAAAAATAATTCAGGCCTTTGGCTTTTTCTGTGTTTTCAATGAGCAAAAAATGTTCTGTATGTCTTTCTTCACGTCTTGATGGTTAGTTTCACCGCAATGCAGAAAATTTGGTGCTTAAATGAGTCGAGTTCAAATTTTTAAGTACAGTATGGTTTTTAGAATTTTTCACCCAAATTTATTTCCAATAAATTTCAAAATACTATGATGTCTAATGAAGATTGGATTCCTTCGAAATATTCTTGAGGGAGAGGTTAAAAAAGACTTCAGGTTGACTATCATTCGTTTCGCAAATTAAGACTTCAACTTCATAAAAGTTACGATTTGAACTCTCTTGAACTCTTCTGTAGGATTGTTTTCCAGCAAAGCACAAGCAAAAAGATTCAAAAACAAACACGAGTTTGTTGACATGTTCACCATTATAGGCGTTCCTGATCTTTTTGAAGCGAAATAACCAATTATTTCAAGCATGGTCTGCCTCCCTCAAGAAATTCGAAAAAAAAACAGAAAACTAGTTTTGAGCAGTTTCTTGCCCGATGAGGTAGGATAAAAAGCGTTGAACTTCGCATTCGACGTGGTTCCTTTGCAATAGAACAAGCCTTTTGTTCTTATTCCCTGGAATTCTAAAAAAAAAAAAAACGCCAGTCAAAGTGTCGTTGGATTTCTGGTTTAAAAAAAAATTCAACCAGAGTAAAAGTCGCGATCAAACCATGAATTTCTCGAAGTCCGTTTGATGCGTTATAGGTGTGTCGTACTGTATTTTCCTCAGACTTCACGAGGATTTAAGTTTCAAATTGTAAGAAAACTTTCAAAAATTCGTTGGCAAAAACCCAAAAATAGTGTGACATTGTGGTTTGGAATCATTAAACGCCATTTTTGCATCCTTTTGGCGTTCAGAAAGATCTTCTTTTTTTTTATTTGAAAATAAAGTGCTCAACTTGTCGATAATCTCATGTAAAATGTTCGTACCAGGACTCGCAGAAAATGAGCCACAAATCCACATAATCCTCGAATTGTGTGGCTTATCGAAACTAAAATGAAAAAAAAGAAATAAACCCAGTACAGTAATTCGAAATCGTTGATTTTTAAATTTTTTTTTCAGAGTTATTGCACGAAGAATAATTGACCATACAAAAAATGCTTCGAAAGCACAAGGCCAAGGCCTTGCTGGCGTTGCTAATTCACGTTTCTGCCCAAGTTCGGGCGGATGATCCAAGTGAATTGATGCAGAATAAAACTTTGTACGGCGGTGACATGGCCGGGGGTTTGAACGTTCCAGTAGATGTCAATGCCACCGTGAGTTTCATCCGATTCTTGAACTTGAATTCTCAACAATGGCAGTGTTTTTTTTAAAGTATTATTTCGATGAATACTTTCACTGGATCAGCTGGAATGGCAACATAGTACTTGGTTGAATAGAAAATAAGCTTTTTCTCGATTTGAAGTTGTTTTCTGTCGCGAAGTGAAAGTACCGGGGGAGTACAGTAGTTTATTTACTCGGCTACGAAATCCGTTCTTATACTCATCACCAGAACTGTCTTTGGAAAGTTTAATTTCTGTGAATATTCCAACTATTAATGAGCATTCCAAACGGACTCGCGAAAAGCATCCACGTAGAGTATACAATATTTTTATCCAGTGTAATCTATTATGGATAATCCGAGTTTTTTTTTCTCTGCCTCTGACACACTTAATGCAAAAAATAATTTATTTCAATCCTAAGGATTTTATCAGATCAAAACATCTGTGTGAGCGGACATCATCGTGTTGCTCACTTATTTGCTATTACTGTACAGCAGTGAAAGATATGAATGTTTCGTTTCGAATTCAAGTCGCATATTTTAATTTCTAAACACTTCTGCTGCCTTTTTTTTTCTTTCTTCTCACGATCACAGCTAGATGAACCAGTCATTACTTTCATTCCAAACTCGGGCTGGCGTTTGTGGACGGAAGGGATCATGTACTACGAGTATGACTCGACTGCAGGTCAGGTTCTGATTTTCATTTTGCTTGCGAATCCTCTATGCAAAAAATGGGCCCCTTTTCCTACGAAAATAGTCAGAAATGATGCTGTTCTCGCTGCTGCAATCGACGAAATCCACGCCAGGACTTGTCTCAGAGTTTACCCCAGGAACAACACTGCGAGCATCATAAGTTACATCGTCATAAAGACGGACAACACCGGGTGCGTAATGTCCCTTTTTTTTAAATCCAGAAAGCATGACAGTTATGTGTTTTTCGAATGCACACGAACTGGTTAGGAATGCGAATTTTTCCATGATTTTGTCAAATGCTCGTACAGTTCAGTGATGTACTGTGTGTGATGCGACAGGCTCCATGATGAAATCCCCTATACTGGGATAGAAAAAATCCTGTGGCCTGTGAATCTCCTGAGGCCCGCAATTCCCTGGGGGAAAAAAATCTTTCAGGGTTCAACAATGCCTTAGGTACAAAAATCCAGTGTATAGTGCTAAAAAATTGTAAAATTGTCCCTGGGTTTTCTTTCCAATGATTTCAAAGGCTTAAGGATCACCTTTCTCAGTAGAACCTTATCTTTATTTCCTCACCTTTCTCAAGAGAAAGATATGGGAAGCTAAATTCAAAAACCATTCCCTTTGGTACTTGAATTGATATATCAGACTCTTGCACCCATGATTCAAAAGTTTACACTAACAATTTTGTACTTTCCTGTTATCTCAGTACCTACTTTCCATGCACCTACCAGAAACTGTGAATTTAATTTTTCCGCATTCTGCTGAAACTGATTTTGGGAGGCAGTTAGGTAAAGTTAGGTTAGGTCTGGTTAAGTTAATTAAAAGATATGTGTAACTAACATAACCTGACCTAACCTTACCTAACCACCTCTCAAAATCAGTTTCAGCAGAATGCGGAAAAATTAAATTCACAGTTTCTAAATTCAAAGATATTTGTAACTAACATAACCTGACCTAGCCTAACTTCAACTAACCGCCTCCCAAAATCAGTTTCTGCTTTCTTTGGGTTTCTGCTGAAACTGATTTTGGGAGTCAGTTTCAGCAGATACCCAAAGGAAGCAGAAAGTGATTTTGGAAGGCAGTTAGGTGAAGTTATCTTAGGTCAGGTTATGTTAGTTACACATATCTTTCAATTAACATAACCTGACCTAACCTAACCTAACAAATACTGAATTCACGAGACAAAGAAAAATGGGTACTGAGATAACAGGAAAGTACCAAAACTTCTTGCACAAAGAAGGAAGATGAAAGCAACATATATTGGCTTAACCCCGCCTCTGTATGCAATAATGCCATGTTTTTTTTCTCTGTCAAATCTCCTTCAGATGCTGGTCCTATGTTGGCATGAACACAACTGGACCTCAAGATTTGAACCTTCAGACAAACGGTTGTTGGTACAAAGGAACAGTCATTCATGAGTTGCTGCATGCTTTTGGCTTCCAACACGAGCACCAGCGTTACGACAGAGACACTTACATTACTGTCAACATGACTAATGTCAATCCAGGTGAGTCGTCACAAAAATGTCACTTCTTCTTCCATCAGGAAATAGGTGAAATTTTCATTCAGATCATTCGAAAATGTGTTAGTCCATTTTAATAACCTATTCCTCTGGGTTTCAATACTTTATCCATTATATGTTGGTGGGGACGTAATGTTGCCTCAACATAAAAGTAAAAGAAATTGATGGATCTTTCAATAGTCCTAGGGTGTGGTAATTGATGGGTCCTTTTCCATTACATGGTACTGTTTAGATTTTTTGCACACTTGTGCATTTCAGTTTTACCAAAGTAAGGTCACTAAAATGCAGATTTGTCTCAATAGCTAGAGTTGGGACAAAACCGGGAAAGAGAAAGCCATTGTTCTGAAAACCCCTTATTGGTGCTAACCCCACAGCAAAAATGTAGAAAAAAGACACCCAAAGATTATTTTTTCATAAGAATTTTTCAGCAGGAGTTCTGGAGAAAATTCGGGATTTTCCTCCACTTTGGCTCTTCTGGCCATTCTTGTTTTTCAGTGTTTCTACTCTTTTTACGTTGCACAACATTTTGCAGTTCAATCATCAATTCCCAGCACTGCCACCCGAGGGTTAAGCGATTAATTGAAGAATAAAACTCAGAAATCAGCCTGGGACATGGCTAGGAATTCTGTCTGATATTACAAGTTCAAGATGTATGTCAATAACGTCCCAGTAAAATGAAATTAAATTTCAGTAACAACTCAGCGAACTCTTTCTATAGCTCACACTTGTGGGTGACGACAATCAAAAGAAGACTAGGATCTTGGAGTTAGTATATAGCATCATCAGTTGAGAACTGATGATTCATCATCAGACAGTTCAGCACATTGACACCATGTTCATGTATGTTTTGCAGATTACACGAGTGCTTTCACTCTGATCCCTCAGAATCAGACAAAAGATGTGGGCATTCCTTACGATGTGGATTCAATCATGCACTACGGTGCCTTTGCATTCGGACTCAAAGACAACACAACCAACAAGAAACTTCAAACAATCATTGTCAAAAACAACTCAACAAGATTGCTTCTTGAACCCTACGACCGTCTCAACATGTCTGATCGGAATATCAAAGAAATATCCGTCATCTACAAGAACGAATGCAACTTGAGAACAACGCCAACAACAACTACTTCTACTTCTACAACAACCACTAGTAGTCCTACCACTTGATCATAAGGATGGTGATGATCATAAGGATGGTGATGATCATAAGGATGGTGATGATCATAAGGATGGTGATGATCATAAGGATGGTGATGATCATAAGGAACCACTACTAGTATTCCTACCACTAGTAATCCTACCCCAAGTACTTTTACCACTAGTATTCTTACCACTGCAACCAGTTCCAACACTATTAGCTCTACCAGCAGTGGCACATCAACCACTCGCATATATACCACAAATGCCATCACTCCTTCAAGTAGTAGACCTGCCAGTTTGACTTCTGCTAAAACTACAACTTATGACAAAACAACGAGGTTCATTACTAAGGGAAGTACTTCGTCTGCTCCTGGAGGAACTACTTCAACTCCTCCCTCGTCCAATCCCAAGCTAAGAAATTTGTTTGGGATTCTACGTCGTATTCTGAGATTCTGGTTCTGATTCCTGAGAGGAATATTTGACTGACAGCAAATAACAGAAACATTAATTTGGTGAAGGGGTTTCGCGGGTTGAAGAAAAGTGTTGGGAATAAAGAAGAGTTTGAGTTCGTCTCTGAACAAGAGTTTTGTTTTATTTTTTTCATTCTTGAAGTTCAACAAAATTTGGACTCGCATTTAATGCATAACTATATGTGTACTGTATATGGGTTTGCAATGGAATGTTCACCTCGCACCTGTGCATGATGACAAAGGATGGGTTTAGTACTGGTGGTTTATCAAATTATCAATCAGAGCCCAGATGAATTATTCATTTGAGAGTCGAAGGATTTCACTCAAACAAGTGATGTGAAATTATTGGTCAAGACCCTCAACGAGTTTGATTTCATCTCCACAATTGAGAATTATCCCGGTCACATTTGGAAGTCATTTTCAGGGAAAAAAAACTATAGGATGAATTTGCACAAAAATGGCTTCTGTAATCGCGAGGAAAAATAATGAGAAAAATACGATCATCCCCTGCCCTGACATTTGGTTTCGTGAAATTTTTGCTATCATTTGAACTGAAACCGTTTAGAATTCCTGTCATTTTGCAGTAGACGAAAGAGATGAAGAGAGATTTCCTTCATAAAAGCAAAAAGTAACTGAAATTTAACGCTACCCATTGAACATTTTAACATTTTTAGCTGATTTGCAAAACTTTATAAATATGCCTCTCTCATTTTAAACAGCTTAAAAGTAGGGATTTCGAATTATTAAAAAATGAAAAAGATCGAGTTGCGCAAATAAATCGAACCTTCGTTCAAAATATGTCTCCGAACATATAAGGGCGGCAGAGCAACAGAATCTCAATTTTTTTTCCAAATGGGCTTTTTTTCAAAACTAAGAAAGAGAAAGATATAGACACGGCAGAATGTTCAGGTTACTTACAAACCTTTGTATAGATACATGACTTATTGAAATCCTGCGAAAACAGGTGTTGGTTAATCTAACAAGACTTCTAGGATTCATGTGGAAGGCAAACATTTTTCGAAAGCGGAGTTCGACTGGAATTTCGGAAAGTGAAACTCTAAATTTTTCTCCTCATGCCAACATTTAATCAAGTTATTGGTCCAATTTTTCGCAACGCACTTGGAATTGTTTTTATCGGTACCGGTTAGTAAATATCAAAATTTGTCACTTAATGTACCGTAATTGATACTCGTATGGAAAATGTTCGCGTTTTCCAGTGCATCGAGTTGACGTATAATCTGGAATTTACACCCGTTTCACGCGTTAAAAAAAATCATTTCTAGCCTATGATTTTCTTCAATTCGATTTTAAACCGTAGAATGCTTCATCGAGACTTTGTGGATTGCAAATCCGAACTGATCCCGTTCGAAATTCCCGTTGAAAAGTTCCAAGACTTTTCGAGAAAAGAAGCGCTCATCCGCTTCGTGAATCCTGAATTCAACTTAACAAATCACCAACTGAACTCCCTTGAACTCTCCTTATGCAACGACAGTTTTCCAGGCAAAAACGAATGATGGAAGAACCAAGAAGAAGAAAAAAAAACACACACCAGGCGTTTTTCATCACGCTTCTCTGGCTGACTCAAGATGGCGACTAATAACGTTTCCTCGAGAAGTTATTCTAACGTGAAAGTCGCAGTTTTCCGCGGTTTCTCACCCGACGACGTTGAAAAGACTCGAATTGTGTTTGAAATTTCCATTGCGATTTTAGCGATGAATATCGTCCGTTTGTCTTTGACTAGTTTTGGAGAAAATAAGCATCCACATCAGGCGTAGTTGAATTTCGTGTAAGAGAATATATGAACACAATTCTGTATCTGAATGAAGAAAGGAATTCCTTCAAGTCATGAAACTCATAACTCATGAAGTTGATACGTNACCACTACTAGTATTCCTACCACTACTAGTATTCCTACCACTACTAGTATTCCTACCACTACTAGTATTCCTACCACTACTAGTATTCCTACCACTACTAGTATTCCTACCACTACTAGTATTCCTACCACTACTAGTATTCCTACCACTACTAGTATTCCTACCACTACTAGTATTCCTACCACTACTAGTATTCCTACCACTACTAGTATTCCTACCACTACTAGTATTCCTACCACTACTAGTATTCCTACCACTACTAGTATTCCTACCACTACTAGTATTCCTACCACTACTAGTATTCCTACCACTACTAGTATTCCTACCACTACTAGTATTCCTACCACTACTAGTATTCCTACCACTACTAGTATTCCTACCACTACTAGTATTCCTACCACTACTAGTATTCCTACCACTACTAGTATTCCTACCACTACTAGTATTCCTACCACTACTAGTATTCCTACCACTAGTAATCCTACCCCAAGTACTTTTACCACTAGTATTCTTACCACTGCAACCAGTTCCAACACTATTAGCTCTACCAGCAGTGGCACATCAACCACTCGCATATATACCACAAATGCCATCACTCCTTCAAGTAGTAGACCTGCCAGTTTGACTTCTGCTAAAACTACAACTTATGACAAAACAACGAGGTTCATTACTAAGGGAACTACTTCGTCTGCTCCTGATAGAAGTACTTCAACTCCTCCCTCGTCCAATCCCAAGCTAAGAAATTTGTTTGGGATTCTACGTCGTATTCTGAGATTCTGGCTCTGATTCCTGAGAGGAATATTTGACTGACAGCAAATAACAGAAACATTAATTTGGTGAAGGGGTTTCGTGGGTTGAAGAAAAGTGTTGGGAATAAAGAAGAGTTTGAGTTCGTCTCTGAGCAAGAGATTTGTTTTATTTTTTCATTCTTGAAGTTCAACAAAATTTGGACTCGCATTTAATGCATGACTATATGTGTATATGGGTTTGCTATGGAATGTTCGCCTCGCACCTGTGATGACAAAGGATGAGTTCGGTACTGGTGGTTTATCAAATTATCAATCAGAGCCCAGATGAATTATTCATTTGAGAGTCGAAGGATTTCACTCAAACAAGTGATGTGAAATTAATGGTCAAGACCCTCAACGAGTTTGATTTCATCTCCACGACAATTGAGAATTATCCCGGTCACATTTGGAAGTCATTTTCAGGGAAAAAAAACTATAGGATGAATTTTCACAAAAATGGCTTCTGTAATCGCGCGGAAAAATAATGAGAAAAATACGATCATCCCCTGCCCTGACATTTCGTGAAAGTTTTGCTATTATTTGATGTGAAACCGTTCAGAATTCCTGTCATTTTGCAGTAGACGAAAGAGATGAAGAGAGATTTCCTTCATAAAAGCAAAAAGTAACTGAAATTTAACGCTACCCATTGAACATTTTAACATTTTTAGCTGATTTGCAAAACTTTATAAATATGCCTCTCTCATTTTAAACAGCTTCAAAGTAGGGATTTGGGATTATTAAAAAATTAAAAAAAAGATCGAGTTGCGCAAATAAATCGAACCTTCGTTCAAAATATGTCTCCGAACATATAAGGGCGGCAGAGCAACAGAATCTCAATTTTTTTCCAAATGGGCTTTTTTTCAAAACTAAGAAAGAGAAAGAGATAGACACGGCAGAATGTTCAGGTTACTTACAAACCTTTGTATAGATACATGACTTATTGAAATTCTGCGAAAACAGGTGTTGGTTAATCTAACAAGACTTCTAGGATTCATGTGGAAGGCAAACATTTTTCGAAAGCCGAGTTCGACTGGAATTTCGGAAAGTGAAACTCTAAATTTTTCTCCTCATGCCAACATTTAATCAAGTTATTGTTCAAATTTTTCGCAACGTACAGTACTTGGAATTGTTTTTATCGGTACCGGTTAGTAAATATCAAAATTTGTCACTTAATGTACCGTAATTGATATATGGAAAATGTTCGCGTTTTCCAGTGCATCGAGTTGACGTATAATCTGGAATTTACACCCGTTTCACGCGTTTAAAAAAAAAATAATTTCTAGCCTATGATTTTCTTCAATTCGATTTGAAACCGTAGAATGCTTCATCGAGACTTTGTGGATTGCAAATCCGAACTGATCCCGTTCGAAATTCTCGTTGAAAAGTTCCAAGACTTTTCGAGAAAAGAAGCGCTCATCCGCTTCGTGAATCCTGAATTCAACTTAACAAATCACCAACTGAATTCCCTTGAACTCCCCTTATGCAACGACAGTTTTCCAGGCAAAAACGAATGATGGAAAAACCAAGAAGAAGAAGAAAAAGACACACACCAGGCGTTTTTCATCACGCTTCTCTGGCTGACTCAAGATGGCGACTAATAACGTTTCCTCGACAAGTTATTCTAACGTGAAAGTCGCAGTTTTCCGCGGTTTCTCACCCGACGACGTTGAAAAAGACTCGAATTGTGTTTGAAATTTCCATTACGATTTTAGCGATAAATATCGTCCGCTTGTCTTTGACTCGCTTTGGACTTTTATTCGTAGGTGTAGTCCGCATCAACTTAAAGCACATTCTCTTATATACTTGTGTTAAGACATAGACTTACTTCTTTCCTTAAGGAAGTTCAGTACTTTGAGTATTGAGTACTTCAACTATGCAGCACATAACTGTTATTGTTGACGCAGTAGTTTTCACGAAGAATCAAATTAAAAACTTGGGACGACTTAATTGTAATCACATGTTGATGACAATAATATTTGAGATGGAGTAGCATTGTGGGTTTGGAAATTCCAGTCGTTTCCAACGACTTTTCCGGTAGTTGAGCGAATATAATTTTGTTCTCAATAAGTCCTTCATCAGCCAAAGATTATCAATAAAGATCAAAGAAACAAGTTTTTCACAAGGATGATGCAAACGTAGCCTGGTTTGTTGAATCTATTGCAGTAAAATCGAGAAATGTTCGTTCACAAACAATTTCAGGAGGTCTTTTCTCTTTTATTTTCAGTTTTGGCAGATTAAAAGCGGCCACAGCATCATGAAGATTCTGGAAAATCTCATCAAGACCTTATTGGCGTTGTTCATTCACGTTTCGACTCAAGTTCGATCTGATGATTCCCTAAATAAGTTGATGCAAAATGAAACTTTGTTTGGGGGTGACATGGCCGGAGGAATGGGTATTTCCGAAGTCGAAGACAACGTGAGTTCATCCGAATGTATATTGAACTTCAATTCGATTTCTCAGCAAAATCGGAATATTATTCCCTTGATGCTACGTACGTACAGTATATACGTATATTTCAATGGTATTGCATTGGATCGGTATACCCATGAAATCATTCTACGGATAAAAAAATCAGAGCATTTTCTTTTTTTTCAGTCATTTATTGCAAAGAAGAAATAATTTGTTAGTTATCTATTTGACTAATGGGCCCTTGTCTGTCCTCTCCCGAAAACTTGTTTGTAAGATGTTAAATTCGGCTTTAGAATCTAAGATAATTCATCTCATTTCCCAAGGATTCAAAACCTGTGGCTCTACTATTTTAAACCATATAAAGCAAGTCCACCATGTCAGATGCAGAGATTATTGATGCATCAAGAATGCCCCAAAGTAGTTGAAATGTCCTTTAGTTGAGTCTCATTTTCTCTTGGGCTTACGCTATATGATTTTAATTGGTGTTCCATGGAAGAAATATTCATCAGAGTTGGTCCACAAAAAAAAATTGTCTGCTGGCCATTACAACTGATTCCATGAATATCTTTCAACTCAATAATGGCATTAGGAGCATTGATTACTGCACATCTGTACACTACTGTACATTGAAATGTTGGCATTCTCTACAAAAATAAAATTCAAATAGAAAATAGAGAAGGAAGTCCCTCATCTATGCTGGAGGTAATTTTTTGAAATCAGCTAAATGGAAGGTACAATGATTATATTAATGCCAGAGAACGATTTATCCAGATCTTAGGGTTGGAAATATCCGAATCGATCTTGCCATTCAGCCTGACAGTTTTTTGCAATTTTAGCACACAATGTCTGGATGTCGAGTCAGTGATGTCGGCATGTTGGTCCCTTTATTATACATTTTTCAGGGGAAAATAAGTGATGAAGCTGTGTTTTTTTCTTCAATGACAGAAAGATGGACAGGTCATGGCTTTCATACCGAACCCGGTCTGGCGTTTGTGGACGGAAGGGATCATGTACTACGAGTATCACTCGACTGCAGGTTATATATACAGTAGTTTCCGTTTTTCATTTTCGTTTTTTTTCTCTTCATTTTTCCCTCTATTCTCCCGATATTAGTGAGAAATGATGCTGTTCTTTCTGCTGCAATCGACGAAATCCACGCGAGAACATGCCTGAGAATTTACCCCAGGAACAATAATGCGAACATCAAAAGCTACGTCGTCATCAAGACGGACGCCACCGGGTATGTAATATGACGACAGCTTGTCTCTAATTGATGATGAAAAGACAGACAATCTGATGTTTTCAATTTTCAAATAAACAGAGAAAAGATATTAATGATGGAACATTTTTAAAAGACTGCATGGAAGGAGGAATGTCGATTACGCGCTGGAATTTTTTTTTTTTTGGAATTGAACCACAAGCTCCATTTTCTGCTTCTCAGTGTTCACAAGATTCAGTCAATGTCCCACCTCCAAACCCCACATATTCATTCAAACGCATTTCGTCGCAACATCAGAAGGGAAAAAATAGAAATAAGTTGAACATGGATATAAAAATAAAAGAAAGTACTGTACATGCCAAAATGTGAAATATTGCACAACTGATGTAAATACCGTTTCTTTCTTCCATGGCCTGATAACAACGCCAAAATATATGTACAGCATTAAGAATTGCAGTAATAGGAAATATGTTGCCCACTGGTATTGCTGCACATCTATGACCATTGGTAACAAATTATTGGTCAAAACACATTTGTTCTCCATTTTTGCGCCAAGCTCGAAAGGGGGAAATGTTCTTCACACATTCTCAGCTTTTGGGAATAAGAAACGAAAACGTAAGGAATCTAATGCATTTAGTTTCCTCAATACTCAGCACTCAGCTCAGCTGGCTCAGCGATTTATTCTGCCAATGTGTTTTTCAAAGAGCCAAAACGTCAGTCACTCTGAATATAATTGAAAGAAGACAATTCCATGAGTTCAGATGTGTATAATTTTGTAGGCCAGATACTCATATTGGATCCCCAAGTTATTGATATAGAAAACATTCACTTTCAGACAAAGGACGTTTTTTTAGGAATGTTTGTGCTTCTCATTGAAACGCGAAAATAATATTCAGGTAAATTGTGAGAATAGTATTCCGATAAATTATGAAAATAATATTCAGGTAAATTGTGAGAATAATATTCATGTCAATGACCTACAGATCGTTGCTTTTGGAATTCTGAAAGCATTAAGAGGGCCAAAAAAGTGTTCCAGTCTTCATGCTTCCCCTTTGTCAAATGCTTGCAATGTACATACACCAGCGCAGCTCAAATAATATTGTTGAAAAGCACGGCGAAGACGTTGAAATATTTTAAATTATTTACACGCCAGAACTTTGATTTATACTCAATGAATTCGTAAGGATATCCTGCGCGTCATGGGAAAACTCATTTGCAAGTACAGTACTGTATGATGACAGCTATTTCATGCTGCTGAAAATGTCCTCCCCTGCTGCTCAGCACAGTACAGTATGTACGTATAAAAAGACCTAGGTTTTCATTCAACCGCAAACTAAAGTTTTTGAAGAAATATGGTACTGTTATGCCGGATTTCCCAGGTTTTTGCAGAGTCCTGTCAGGTTCCATAGTTTTTTTTTTCAATCAAGAAAATGTATTTTAAGAAGAAACTTGCAGTAAATTTTCAACATCAAAACTATTCCGTCGAAGTTTTGATCCTTTTTTCTCGAATTGTATGCCCGCCGTTGAAGTACGAGTGGTATTTGGCTATGCTCATAATTTTGAAACTGTTGGCCTTCAAAGACAGTTTGAGTGTCACAGAATGAAAATGTGTGTTTCAGACCACGCTGATAAGCAAAGCACAGTACTGTACTGTAATTTTTCCTTGTAACAGCACATCAGCGCCCGAAAATTAATTTCGGAAGTAAAAGCATCAGTACAGTTTTGGAAGTGGCGAATACTTTGAATTTTAGTGTGTGGATGATTCATCGAGTAAAAGTCATTCTGAAGGTACTCGTACAAGTCTCTCTAAATTATTGCTGGAAAATTGCGCACTGTGCTTTCTTATACAATCTTGGCCAGAAAAACTTTTTGGCATTTCCATTCATGCCAAACTTTTGCACATCAAGTTTTTGCTTGACAAGTTTCCAACTGCAGGATTTTACTTGCATCCATGAGTCCATTCTTCACACCAAATATCTTCAAAAATTCAGGAAGATAATTAAAGCGAGTGATGATTAATCAAATGAGCTTACGTTCCCTGATGCTATTTGACCCAAATATTTTGCTAGACTATACGGGTCAAATTGTGAAGCAGCCATGTTGTGAGACAATGTCAAATTCAATTTTTTTTTTTGTGGTTTCAATGTTGTGCATCTCTACATTTTTTAATTTTATTTGGAGAGGTAAAATTGGAAGTCAACCTCCCGGCAAACTTGACTGACAAATTTTAGGGTGGTCAAATTGCAAGGTAACATCCATACATTCTATTGACATAAGCCACCATTTACGTAAAATAATGCAATATTTTTTTGTTCCCCTCAGGTGCTGGTCCTACGTTGGCATGAACACACGCGGATCTCAGGACTTGAACCTTCAGACAGACGGTTGTTGGTACAAAGGAACAGTCATTCATGAGTTGCTGCATGCTTTCGGCTTCCAACACGAGCACCAGCGTTACGACAGAGATGATTACATCACTATCAACACTGCAAATGTCAATCCCGGTGAGTTACAGCACCTAACTTGTTTAATCAAGATTAATTACATCTCTGAGGCTATTCAAGGATTCGCTGTGTACAGTACTAGGATAACACAATTGCAAAAGTTCAAAAATCCTAACTATAAATGAATTTTTTTTTGGGTACATGCCTAAAATACACATGGGCTCATCTCCGTACAATTATCTTGTCTACAACAAATTCCTTCATATAAAACATGTTTGACCCATTGGAAACCTCCCCTACAGTACAGTCAACCCCCAAAATGTGTGCAATATGGACAATAGTCTGTTGCATGAAAAGTCTGTTATGCAAATCCATTCATTGAAAATGTTTATCAACCTCAATAATTTTAAACAAACAAAAGTCTGTTATGTGGATTTAGTCCAATGCGCAGGAGGGAAAACTGCATCAAGAGGCAGTCCATTGTGGAAAAAATCAATTTTGCGGGGGGTCTGTTGTGTAAGGGTTGACTGTATAAGCGTTCTTCGAAACAAAATTCTCCACAATCCATTTTTTTAGTCCCTTCAATTTTGTTTGGAGAAATAGTCCACCTGTATATGCAGTACAACTTTGGAAAAAGAGTTTTTTCTACAAGTCCAAGGGTTGTCCCATATGAAGGTAGCCTTGGGTATTTATAAAGTGGTTACGCCAATAAATAAAATTTATCATTTAGTACGTGAAGTTCTAAGCCAGGCTATGAGAATTTTTCAGATTTTTCGAAAACAATTTCAATTTTTGGCATGATGATGAATGAAATCTTTTCCATTTTTGATGTACTTCTCCTCTCATGATACAGCTGGGTGCTGAAAATTTGTAAGCACAGAATAAAAATTGAAATTGAATATTCTTTCAACCATGATGTTTTCTATATTTTCTGACACTCAGCTTTTGCTTCAATACCAAAAAATTTCAGAGTGAGCAATCATTTATAATTTAGAGTTGATGAATGTTTTCCTTGCACAAAATGGAAATGGTCAGGAGGAACCTGTCCAACTTGGTGGAACGGGGTGGGTGGGCACTATATGCTGCGCAACTGGGAAAAGAAGCCAAGAAAATTGTTTGACAGGCACCAAGAACCTGTGCAACTTGGCGGAGAGTTATTTGACAGAAAGGGACAATAAGATGTATCGGTTTTTGTGCAGACGTCAACATCTTAAACTGCCTTCCGAGTTCCGACTTATAGGCAAAATAGGAATGAGAACAAAAAATAAGAGTTTCATGAAGCTTCAAGGAAAGTAGAAGAATATCACAAGAAAAAATGGAGCTGTGAATGATAACAGTATTTTTGAAAAAAAAAAATTGGGTTGAACCCCTGGTATTGAAACAAAAGCAAAATGTTTTCTGTTTTTGAATTTGTGTGAGGAACTTAATTGCTCAAAAAATTTGAAAACTTCACAAAATATCGAAAACATCATGGTTAAGACGAAATTTAAATTTCAAATTTTTTATCTTTGTTTAAAAATTTTTATCACACTGTGTATCAAGACTCAAGAGAGGTGAACTGCATAAAAAATGAGAAAATTTCATTCATCATCATAAAAGGGAAAGGATTTTCGACTTGAAATAGCTCCATAGCAATTGAGCTGTTTCAAGGATTCTTCCACGTCATTCCAACATTCAATGAATTTTCACACATGAACTGTTGGAAAAAAAAATGATACGGAAAACATGTTTGCAGCACGCAACCACAAAACGATGCTCCTAAATAATACCGTATTTATGTTTGCAGATTACACAAGGGCTTTCACTGTGATCCCACTAAATGAATCCACGAATGTGGGCAGCAGCTACGATCTGGATTCAATCATGCACTACGGGGCCTTCGCATTCGGACTCAGAGACAACACAACCAACAAATACCTTCAAACAATCATCGTCAAGAGCAATACAACCAAATTGCTTCTAGAACCCTATGCCCGGCCCAACATGTCCGCGGGGAACTTCGTTCTTTATAGAAACCAGATGGTCTGACTTACGCGCCGCGCTTGTTGGTGGTGCTGGTGCTGAGGAAGTAGGTAATTAAGGCCGTTGGGCGGTAGTTGGTGGGTTTTGGGTGGTTTTGACATGCCCATTCTGCGTCGTATTTTCGGCAGATTCTGGTTCTGAGTTATTTCACATGAGATGGAATAGCCAAATTCGGCAAGAGAATTCAATATTGGATTCAGAGAGCGGGGGCAAATAAATGCATGCATGGAGTTTGTCTCTGTACAGTATAAGACTGTGGAATTCGTCTTAAACAAACTCATTTATTCCCTGCCCTGGCCCCATTTGGGACACCAGCATTTTTTGCCAAGATCTTCAAAAAAGTTTTTTTTTTATCTTCAATCACATTTCACAGAGAAGTTCCGTACAACTGTAGATCGACCTGCTTCGCTGAATTTTACTTTTTATTTTACCATCAGGAAAATGTTTTCTGAACCCAGCACCCGAATTCCAGACAAATATGAAAACGTGGTAGGTGGATTGCAAGAGAATTAATTTTAACTGCAGTTCACGACTCCTTCTTCCAATCATTCAATTTAAAAGCTCTATATTCTATTGAGTTTGACTCAAAAGCTCTATACAGTCAACCCCCGTCTAACGGACTTGATTTGTGCAAGGGACAAGTCTGTTAGACAAAAAGTCCTTTACACAAATTCAATTAAATAAAAAATTAAAAATTTCAATTTTAAACACTAATTTTAAACCAAAAGAAGTCTGTTTGGTGGATTTTGTCTGTTGGGCAGGAGGAAAAACTGCTTGCAGAGCTGGTCTGTTTGGCAAAAATCCCTTACATGGGAGGTCTGTTAGGCGGGGGCCACTGTATTCCATTGAAGCTCAGTTTGTTCTGAGTGCAATAGTAATTTTGGTGTCACGTTTTTCTTAAATTTATATAATCGCACAACATGCAAACTTTATGATCCTCAAATAAGATTCACCAAAGGTGGTATGTAAAATGATATTTCTTATATTTCTCAGAAATTTATAGAAATAGATTGAAAGAAGAAATCCAATGTCCCATTTATCTTAAAACTCTCAGCATTCCCATCACATGGGTAGGGTTAGGTAATAGGTAAGCAGATTGGTTCTAGATACAAATTACCTGAAGTTATCCTCATGCATCTCAAGAAAATCCCAGCCTTTCTTACTCAAGCACCAACAATTTGGACAAGCTTGTTATGAGCTGTTCTCTCTTATTCTTTCAGTCTTTCATCAGGTAGGAAATCACTTTGTATGCAAGCGTTTCCTGCAAGGGTTTTACCATCACCCATCAATGGGCTGCGGCAAGACCTTGAATTGATGTTGCATAAACCTGTGCCTTGAGTTAATTAAGGGATATGGCTCATCAAAATTGAGGGTTTTTGCATATTGACGCTTGATAATCACATTTTCTTCAAAGGCTCCTCATTATTATAGAACACTATATTGTGGGGGCTTGGTTCATTTGTTTGATCAGGAGTAAGCTCCTGGTCCACCAGAACCTGCAGCACATGAAGCTCTTCAGCATAGTTCTTTTTCTTTATGTGCTGTTCTTCTTTGAGAGGTTTTGATAAAAGCATTAGCAATGTGTGGTCTATTGCCGGTACCGGCACTACCAGGTCAACCACGCAGGTTGAAAACAATGCAAGAAGGGCTTAAACCTATGCAATCCTCTCTGGCACCAGTAAGAGCCTAGCTTGAATACAGGTGTAGTCCAAAAGCCCCCGTAGGTCAAAAGCCCCCA